GGGTGACTATTTTAGGCTAAACACTTATTCAATAGCAAAAGTAATGAACCTCACTTAGTTTGTATTTAATAGACCTCATATTTACTGAAGCCTGAAACTCTTGGTTATTACCACTTATGTAACACGGAACTTGGAGCTGATGTAAGAGCATGACAGAGGTGACATTAACCCAAAGAAAAGAAAATTTACCCTGAGAGATTATCTACTGGTCGTCAAAGGACATTTCAGAATTACCTGGAGATTTGCTATACTAAAGTAGGCTTCTGGAGTGGTTTAGAAAAATATTCCCCGGAATTCTGGGGATGAAACATTCAATTTTAAAACATCAGCTTCCCTTCCTATTATGTGATGCTATTCTGAATTATGAGTATCTTAGTTATGCAGTGCTGCTATAACAGAAATACCGCAAGTGGGTGGCTTTAACAAACAGAAATTTATTTTCTCACAGTTTAGGAAGCTAGAAGTCCGAATTCAGGGCACCAGCTCTAGGGAAAGGCTTTCTGTCTCTGTCAGCTTTGGGGGAAGGTCTTTGTCTCTTCAGCTTGCTTCCTGGTTCCTTGGAGATCTCCACGTGGCTTGGCATCAATCTTCCCCCATCTCTGTTTACTTGGTTGTTTAATCTCTTTTATATCTCAAAAGAAATTGATTTAAGACACACCCTACACTAATCCTGTCTCATTAACATAAGAAAGACAATCCATTCCCAAATGGAATTATAAGTACAGGCATGGAGGTTAGGATTTACAACACACATTATTGGGGAACACAATTCAATCCATAACAATGAGGAAATAGATTTTACTCCCGGATACGTAGCTTCGGGATTCCTAGTAACAATCATTTTCTTTTTTCACCCTTCCAAAAATCCATAGTTTTCCTAAGAACTATTGGAGGTTTTTGGTTTTTTTTCCACAAAAATACCCGTCCAACTGCCATGAAGTCAGTTCCGTCTCATGGAGACCCCATGTGTGTCAGAGTAGAATTGTGTTCCGTAGAGTTTTCAATGGCTGCTTTCTTGGAAGTCGATCGCCATACCTTTCTTCTGAGGTGCCTCTGGGTAGACTTGAATCTCCAATCTTTCAGTTAGCAGCTGAGAACATGAACTATTTGCACCACCCAGGGACTCCTTTACAAAAACAGTGTTTACTTAATTCCAAAATAACTGGTCCATTGTGTTAGGCAAGTAAATCAGTCAAAGCAAATCAGTGATGTCATACACACAAAAACAAAATTATTCGTGATAATATTTAATTATTTAATCTGTCATCTTGCAATTTTATAGGTTCAAGTGCCCAAATATGAACTTATACTTTCAGCTTCTAATCTGGTTCAAATTTATTCTCAATCCAACCTTACAGTTAACCAGGTGAAATACCAAATAGCAGTTTCAAGGATAGCCTTCTCGAGGAACCCTGGTGACACAATGGTTAGCTCAGCTGCTAACCGAAAGGTCAGCAGTTCAAACCCACTAGTGACTCCACAGGAGAAAAATGTGGCAGTCTGCTTCCGTAAAGATTACTGCCTTGAAAACCCTATGGGGCAGTTCTACTCTGTCCTATGAGACAACTATGAGTCAGAATTGACTCAACAGCAACGGGTTTGATTTTTTGTGTTTGCTTTTGGTTCTTCTAAATTTTTTTTTTTAATTGTGCTTTACGTAAAAATTTACAAAACAAATTCATTTCTTCTTCAAAAATTTATATACAAACTGTTTCGTGACATTGGCTGCAATCCCTGCAATGTGTCAGCACTCTCCCCCTTTCCCTTTCCACCCTGGGTTCTCCATGTCCATTCATCCAGCTTTCCTGTCCCTTCCTGCCTTCTCGTCTTTGCTGCTGGGCAGGTGTTGCCCATTTGGTCTTGTATATTTGATTGAACTAAGAAGCACATTCTTCACATGTGTTATTATTTGTTTTATAGGCCTGTCTAATCCCAGGCCGAGAGGTGGACTTTGGGAGTGGTCCCAGTTCTGAGCTAGCAGGGTATCTGAGGGCCATAGTCTCAGGGATTCCTCCAGTCTCTGTCAGAGCAGTAAACCTGGTCTTTTCTTGTGAATTTGAATTTTGTTCTACATTCTTCTCCTACTCTGTCCAGAATAAATTTTAAGGGGTGAAGAATCTGGATTTGTTTTTCTCCAACACTCACCTGAAGCACCTTTAAGGTATGAACACTTCTTATCTATGGTCTTGTTCAAAACATCCTTCCATCTGTGGCTCTCAGGAGCAGACGATCCCCCCAGAGCTGCTCTGGGCATGATAGACATCATGGACCTGACAATACACGGGATGAAAAATGTCAGGCTGGTCCTCCAGTTGGAATCGATCTGTTACTTTAAACTTTAAACCTTAAAGAGTTATGTGTCATTTTCACTCACTTGGCAGGTATGGAATTCTCTTGTAACAGTTTGCAGGGTTGAAGCTTGGCTCACTATGCAGTACTCTTTTTTTTGTTTTTTCCCTACTGCAGAGATCGAAGGCCTGAATATGGCTTATAGCCCAGTCAGTAATCAAAATGACCACATGTAGGAAAGAGTAAATGGACTGACCCCAAAGCTATGTATCCACCTCAGAGATTTACAGTAGGGATCCTGAGGAGATATCTAGTACCCAAGAAGTATTGCTAGATATCTCAAATTCATGGTGTTCTTTATTTTCACTTGTGTAAGAAATTGAGGTTGAAACAAACGTTGTCTGACATTCCCCATCTCCTACAGTAAGGGTAGTAGTGATAGTCATGCTAAAAGGAGTAGTAGTAACA